CACATACTACTGCGCCATTGTTCATATGCACTGGATGGCAGCACCTTAGATTAAGTATCTGACTGCTAAACTCATGGCCACCAAGCAGCTGGTACACAGAAGCTTTCAGCAATGTTGTAATGGAAGACCTGTGCATGCTGGATGGAAATGGTCTATATGGACAAAGTGCCAAATCTAAAGAAGCCTGTCATTGTTGCCACTGTGACTGCTGGAGTGGATATTGCCATTTTCAGACTGACTTGGAGACCAAACTGCTGTTGTGCTGCCAAAGATGCTGCAAATCCCTATGGTTTCACTTCGCACTCCTGACTCACATACTTAACTGATTCTATCTAGCAATAGCTTTCTTTGGGCCACGGAAGGTACTGGCAGAGCCCTCTGCTCACATGCATGGGATTGTCAAATACCACAATCTAATGACAACCAAGATGACTGTCAATTATTCCTTTGAATTTCCACCTTGTCACTGTGGAAAAATTTAGCTGCCATCCCAAAAAATGCATTGTGCCCTTTCAGGCCTGAGTAGATTGGACAGATAGAGTCCTATCTAATTAGGTGCCTGAGAGCCAGTGATCATTGCAAAAGTCAAAAGGAAATTTCTGACTTTCTTGAGAGAATGGAACAGAACTGTGCCCCCCACAGCTCCCTCTGTCAAAATCTTACCATTCACAGGCCAGCAGGGACAGTTAACTCTTACCCCTTGAGACATACACAAACATATATCCTTGGACAAATCTTCTTTGCACTAAGCCAGTCATATTCCTTCCTCTACAACCCTGGACTCTCTACTTTGACTGATCCCTGAGAACATGGATACCTTCATCTGTAAGAGACAGATATCTTCAATGCATAAGTTCTGAAAACTAACCCTATAACTTTTGGCCCATTCTAGTTATAAAATATGACATTCCTTGCTTGGGAGCTGCTCAAATAAGTCCCTTCAACTGCGAAATACTGAAATAAATGGGCAAGTCACTTGAAATCAATTGCCAAAGGGGGTCAAGAGCTGTCACACTGTTTTCAGTGAAGTTCTCACAACTGATTTAACCAAGCCACTAGCACATTCTCTTTGAGGACTCTCAGCCTCCTCCAGCACTGTCTCAGACACTGAACCAAACAATAGAGTATGTGCAATTGCCGAAAGATACCTACCCTGACTGTATAGCCAGTTTAAGCTGTATGAGTTGCCCATGCTACTGTGACTGCGCTCAATCCATATTTCCCTAGTCTTCTGGCATGCACAGCATGCTGGAACACAGGCCTCTACATGGGAATGCTGACTTCTGCCCTTAGATTGGGTCCTATTATTGAACCCATTTTCACTACCAACCTGGACCCAAACTTCTGAGTGCTTCAACTTCTTTACCCTCTTTGGAAAAGCACTCACACCTCATTTCTCTACCTTCCCACAATGCAAAACAAGCTGTCCAATGGAAAAACACCAATGCTCTTCTGCGATCTCTCAGAAACCAGTTACCAGAAAAAACCCTACAAAATTCATGGACTTGCTGGCTTCAAAAGAATCTAGATTCTTGTTTCACACCAAAAAAATGAGGCTTAGTCAAACTGTCAGCCCATGGAAGAGCCCAGTGACCTACATCTGCAAATATTTGGCCACTGTCCTTCTGATAACAAATCTTACAGACTCAACTTTGGCTAAGTCTTAACTACACTGATGTCACAGACTCTGATGAATCTTACAAAGTGGCAAAAAATTCATGCTTCACTCTTGTGACAAGAAAGACACTGAATCCTGCCACGTATCTGCTCAACAAAGGAATTCAATAGTGCACAACTGCACCATGCTGTCTGATCAGCTATAAAGGGATAAGACAGGGGCCAGCCCCATAGCTCAGTTCTTTAAGTGGCTGCTTCAACAAAACAATCACGCTCAGGTTGCTGTGGTTCGATCCCCACAACTCAAGCCAGCCAATCACACCCTGAAGGCATTCGGAGACAAAAAAAAAACACCTTCTGCCTTTTAGGGGGTCAGGGAGTTAGCTCAGTAGAATAAGTGCTTGCCTAGCAAGCACAAGGGCCTGAGTTCAATCCCCAGTTCAAAAAAAAAAAAAAGTTATAAGACTTCTTACAAAGACTACTATGCACTATCGGTTTATTGACAGAGATAGCTGTTAGAAAAGAAATTCCACATGATAGATATTCTAAGGTCATCTTTGAAAAAGCTATTTCAGCTGAAGCTCTCCTACTGCTACATCCTGCTGTGTTTTGCAAACCCATACTTTCCAAAATTCTTAAAGAAATCAAGAAGGAAATTAAATAAGAAAATATTGGACCCAAGTCTAGCCCAGGCCCTGGGAGTGTGTGGGAGAGGTCCTGGCTACCATGCACTGACAGGACCTACTGGTCCCAGCCCAGGTACAGCCTGGGTGAGACCCTCTTCCACCCCCTTAGAATGCCCCCCAATAACTGTGTAGTACCCCCGCACAACCCGCCCACCAAGTAGGAATTTCTGGCACGTTCCGGGAACCCCCATTCTAGTCCAAGCCTAGGCCCAGTGAGTGTGTGGGAGAGCTGCCACTCCCACCGACTCCACCTTGTGCCTTCCAGACTCAGCTGAGGCCTGACATACATGCCTGGGTGGAAACCTGCAGCAGCAATCTCTGCAGAGAGTGCAGAGAAGAGAACCATCCAGCTAGTACAAGAGCAGATCATCTTACCAGAGTGGCATGACACGTTCACCCACAAGGGCCACAAGAGGAAAGAGTTGAGCACAGCAGCCAGACCCAAGCCAGGCACAGCTGGATAAATCCAAACATTGTAGATCTGCACCTGAACTTCAGTAGGTGCTAAGCCTATAACTGCAAGAAAGTTCTATAACAAAGTTCAGAAGACAGTGCTACACAAAATGAAAATGAGAAGGAGCAAAATGCAATCTCAGAACCCAAGCGCACCAATAACAAGTGCAGAGGACACTAACACAGAACAAATTGGGAGTCACAGCTGAAGGCAAACAATCAATGGCTTCTGAAATAAAGAAACAGCGGCAGAAAGGTACAGAGGAACTCAGATTAGAAATAAAAAAAAAGAAATCCCTGAATTAATAACATCTGCACTAAAGAATCAAATGCAGAAACATATGGAGGAAAGCCAGTGCCCACTCAGAACAAGTGCAGAGGACACTAGCCCGACTCAAATATATGAATTAATACTGTCGATACTAAATAAGCAACAGCAGAAACTCATAGGGGATCTCAGAGTGGAATTCTCTTCTGCTAGCTCAGCTCAAATGCATGAATTAATATCATCAATAGTAAATAAGCACCAGGAGAAAGTTATAGAGGAACTCAGAGCAGAATTCTTTTCTGAAATAAAAAAAAAGAAGTCTCAGAAATCATAGCACCTGAAGTAAACAATCAACTACAGAAACATAGGGAGGAAACCCAATCTGAAAAAAAATCTGCAATAAAAGAATTTATAACTGCTTCTAAAGAAGACATTGATAAAAAAAAAAAGACGAGATTAGAAAAAGGACAGATGCCTTGAGTGAGCAATACAGGAAAGAAATAGATTGCATGAAGCAGAGTCAAAGAGATATAGAGGAAATTAAAATCTCAATCACAAACTTGCAACACCATTTAAGTGAAAGTGAAGACAGAGTTTCAGATCTTGAAGACGCTGGTGCAGCTAGTGAAAAGGTAACAACGGATCTCTTAAAAACAAGGATGCAGGAAAGAATAATCCATCACCTGCAAAATGATGCAAAGATGAAAAATGTGAGACTAATAGGCATCAATGAGAAAGAAGGAGTCAATACAAATGACATTAAAAAATATGGGCAGAAGTAATAGCAGAAAACATCCCAAATATGAGGAAAGAATCTGACATTCAGGTAACTGAAGCATACAGAATGCCAAGTAACCTTAACCCAATGAAAAACACACCAAGACATATAATAGTCAAGATCCCAAAAACTCAGCACAAGAATAATATACTGAAAAGCGCTAGAGAAAAGAAGTAGATCACATGCAAAGGAAAACCCATCAGAATTATGGCTGACTTATGTTCACAAACCATGAAGGCAAGAATGCCCCAGCACCACAGAAAAAAGCAGGGATAGCACTCCTATTCTCAGACAGTCTCAATTTCAAACCAACAATGAACAATTGAAATAAAGAAGTCCACTATATACTGGTTAGGGGAAAAGTTCAAGAGGAAGAGGTAACACTCATAAATATGGATGCACCAAACATGGGAGCAACCAACTAAATAAAGCAAATCTTAATGGACATGAAGAATCTAATATCCAATAACACAATTTAACAGGCAAATTTAACACCCCCTTATCCGCAAAAGATAGGTCAACCAGAGAAAAACTTAGCAAAGAAATAACAGAACTGAACCAGAGCTTAAAACAAATGGACTTGAAGGACATATAAAGAGTGTTCCACGCTAGCACAGCTGAATACACATTTTTCTCAACTGCACATGGGTCATTTTCTAAAATAGACCACATACTGGTCCATAGGTCATGCTTAAGTATATGCAAGAAAACAGAAATTATCCCATGCAC